GACGGTGTAGGCGTTGGAGCGCGCGCCCGTGCCCAGCAGCTTCTCGCGCTTGCTTATATCCCATGCACCCCACCCCACCACACCCCACCCCAACCCACCGCACCCCTCCCCACCCACCTGCATGGTGACGGGCGCGTGCACGTGGAAGACGGTGTGGTGGAAGTCGGTGTAGGCGTTGGAGCGCGCGCCCGTGCCCAGCAGCTTCTCCCTCTTGCGCGACCCCAGGAAGGTGACGTGCTCGATCAGATGCGCCAGGCCCTGCTCGTCTTCCCTCTCGTCCACCGACCCTACGTGCATCTCCAAATGAGCCTCGAACCTGGCGTTCGGTATGAGGGGAAAGGGGACGTGAACGAGGAAAGGGGGGAGGGGAATCATGGCAGAGACCCCAGGAAGGTGACGTGCCCGATGAGGTGCGCCAGGCCCTGCTCGTCCTCGCGCTCGTCCACCGACCCCACGTACATCTCAAGGTGCGCCTCGAACCTGGTTGACCAAGGGGAACTAGAGAAGGGGGAACGAGAATGCGGGAAGGGGGTAACGAAGCATGGGTTGGGAGGGGAGCAAAGAGCCCTCGATGAGGTGCGCCAGGCCCTGCTCCTCCTCTCTCTCATCCACCAACCCCACGTGCATCTCGAGGTGCGCCTCGAACCTGGCGTGCGGCATGAGGGAAACGGAACTTGAATGAGGTAAGGGGGAAACGGACCTTGGGTCGGGAGGAAAGCAAAGAGTCTAGGAAGGTGACGTGCCCAATAAGGAGCGCCGGTTCATGCGCGCGCCCCCGCTCGTCCCCCTGCTCGTCCACCGTCGCAACCACCAACCTGTTGGGCGGCAGTTTGTTGGGCAGGATGACGTATCGCAGCCCGTTATCGAGCATGCCGCGGTGCACCTTCGGGTGGCTCGGAAGCCGCTCGCTCAGCAGCGCTTCCACCTCCGCGCGCTCCGCGTCAGACATCGTCACCCGCTCCGCCTCCCCGCCCGCCGCTTCCCCCATTTCCCCCTCCTCGCCGGCGTCGTCACCTAGGTATTGCCCCTTCTTCCCCTCCTCCTCCTCCTTCATTCGGCCTATGATTTCCACTAGGTTTCCCAGCGCCGGCAGAATATCCGCCGGGATCGGCGGCGACGCGGACGGCGCGGCTTGCGGCTCGGTGGGGCCCTGCGACGCTTGCGACTGCGACCGCGGCGACACGGCCAGGCGGCAGCGGCGGGAGAACCGCGCGCCGGCTGCGGAGGGTCCATCAGGGCTGCGGGGGAAATCGGCGCGAGAGCCGGCGGAAGGCGGAGTGGCGCGGGGAAGAGAGCGAGCGACGGGCGTGCGCAAGGTGCGGCCGAGAAATTCGGAAGAGGCGACAGCTTCACGCTGCCGCCGCTGTTGTTGCTGCACGCGAGTTCTTTGTCCGAGGTGATTATATTGAAGGGCGGAAGAGGACGAGGAGGTTAGCCTGGTGCTGCTGCTGCTGCTGCTGCAGCGGCACCCGGAAGGGGTGTGAGAAAGCGTGGGGTGCGCGATGCCTGCTGAGGGACGAGTCGCTCGGGTGGGCCTCGTCCGCAGGGAATGTCTGGCTTGGCCTTGCCTACTCACGCAGAGATTCGAGTCGAGCAAAAGGGAACAAAAACGTATGTAATCAATGGAAAACAGGCAAAAAGCAGGGTGAGTATAAGTCTTAAGAGAACGTACTAAGAGGAGAGGATGGAGCAAAGAAGGTGGATCAAGGAGAGGGCGACATAACGAGAAGTAGGCTTTCGCGGTGAGAAACGGACCTTAAAAGTCAATCATACTCTTGGAACGAAAAAGACTCGTAATGGTAAAAAAAAAAATCCCGAATTTGGATTCATCAAAGATGAGATTCCAGTCGCAACTGACGCATTACCATTGCTGTGCGACGCCTAGTCGTCTGACGGCGGTAGTCTTCGCAAGACTACTAGAGACACTGTAAACGGAGGAAGATGGCCTGAACTTGACGGAATTAGGTTGGCTTCGCTCGCTGGCGATCAGAGAGACGCCCTTCCTCTGCACGCATGCTGGCACGCCGCCTGCGTGGGCTAAGGAAACGGCCAAGGACATCGCGGGGAATAACTATCTAAAGTTCTCGCAAAAGCCTGCCAGAATGGGCAACTCGAAGATGATCAGAGCAGGCGTTCCACTCGTCCACACTCCCGCTCTTCGCCAAACGCCGTTTCTAATAGTGGCCTGTTTGGAGAAGGCTGTCGTGTCCAGCTGCGTCTGTTTTGAGTGAACTAGGGTTTGTTGCTCCACTCGTCTTCTCTAGGCGAACTAGTGAAGGCGGAGGGGAAGGGGAGGTGAAGCACGGATAGGGATTGGATCAGTGGATGGTGCACTTCACTCCAGGATGCAGGCCGTGAAGTTATGGTGGCGACGAACTCGACTCTCAAAAAACAAATCTTCCTGCTACCATTGGTGCGGAACAAGGCGGAGCGGATCTATCACGAATTCTGTTCAGTACTGTGTAAGGGGCCATTCTTACTACGCATCCCTTTACGTGTCAGACTTCGGGACCCGAAGTCGGAACACCCGAAGCAGCTCATCACCGATTTTGACAGGAACATCGAGCAATCTCTGACCCGAAGTGGGAGCTATTTGACCCGAAGTTAGGTCTCGACTGAAGTTTCAGGACTATAGAATATGCTTGCAAGCTCTTGGTGTCCTATCTGACACAGAACCCGACCGACATCAACGGTCTATTTCTGCTGCCGCGTGTCAAAACCAACCACAGCCGAAAAGAGCGGGCTCGGTACCCTGACAGAACACGAGACGGAGTGTTTTCACTTTTGTGCTGACACAAGTTTGAATCGAGGTTCGCTTGCGGAGCGACAAGAGTTGTCCAGTGGGCCAATGAGGGGAGGTGCTCAGCGGAATTTGCTCCAGGTCAGCGTGGCAAGAGGGAACGTGACGTGGGCCCTTTCCTTTGACGCCATGTGGCAGTGATTTTGCACATGTTCATGAATGAAAAGGCAGTGTTTGTGGCAGTGTTTGTGCATATTCTGGGTACCCAATAAGCATGAACATAAAAAACTGTCATTAAATACTGATATTACCCTAGTTTGTTACTTCAAAGAGACATCAATAACTGTTTCCAATTCAAATTGTAGGCACCCATCGCATACATACTTACCCATCCTATTTTGGCGCTTGTTGTACGCTTACCATATTCTGAGTTCTTGTTTGGACGTTCTATTATAAGGAATTTTCTCAACATTCCTTAGCGCATCCTGCAACATCGCGTACAGCAGCAGCCGTTGTTCGCCCGTTACTGCTAACGGTGCTTCGCCGACTTCGCGCGCACTGTTTCACCAAACCATGCACCCCTTGCCCGACCGTGTCGGCCTATGCTTCGGGACTAGCCCAAGCCTCAATGCCAGCCTAGCACTAGCTAGGTCGTACGCACCGCGCTACCGTTTGCATGTTTCGCGTATAATTGTTCGCTCATGCCTTCGCTCACATTTTGTACTCGTTTGACACTTAGTGCAATCCTCGCTACCCCGATTCATTGCACCCGTAACATTTAGTATTCAGAGCTAGTTTCTTTTCGGATCGCGCATCTCCACACCCCATGAAATCCACTTTTGTTTTTTCACTCGAAGTGCCTCACGCACCTTAGCCCCTAGGAGCCGCTGTCCTCGCGTTCTCTCGTAAACGCGTGCAGCCATGACTGCGCGTAGACTAAGAAGAGCCGACGCCCTTCGTAGTGGCCGAACACGTCGACGTCACCACCCTCACGCATGAGCGTCTGAACGAACTGCTGCAGTAACTTCGCGAAAGCTCTGAGGAAATCGCGGCGCTGACGGCAGAACGCACGTCCCTGCAAAACGACATCGCACGAGCACAGGAAGTACAATCTCAAGGACCTGGCACGCCGGAACAACCCGCATCCCAGGCATCGCAACATGGAAGTGTGGGGCAACCCGCGAGTGCGGCTAGTGATGGCATCGTCCGCCACGACGGAGACGACGGCCACGGCACGACACACCATGAGGCAACGAATGCGACCCAAAGCCAGCCACGCATTGTCAAACTATATATGTGCTAGTTTTGTGTAGGCTATAGTAGGGTAGCCTGTATGGGGTACAACCCAATGTTAGGTTTAGTACGTGTACCCACAATCTTTTCAATGCAGTCATTCTAGCTTCTCATTCGGACATGGTATCAGAGCAGTAGGTCCGTAGGACCGTTTTTTTCGGGCCCACCATTTCGACTGCGGTTATCGCGTTACGCCACTACCATACCCCGCGTCGCGCTGCCCCGCGCACGCCACCTGCGCGCTGCCCCTGCTGGCCGCACGCCACTACTGCAGCGCGAGTTTTCTTTAGCGCGCTGCCCCATCTGCGCCCCGCGCGCCTTCTGCAGCCCTGCGCGCCGCCTGTAGCCCCGCGCGCCGCCTGCCCCTGCCGCGGCTGCCTGCTACGCGCCACACGTCATCTGTCGCACTGCCCCGCAGCCCCGTACGCCGCCCGCCTTGCTGTTGCGGCGCCCACTACGCCCTGCGCTCAGCCCGCCCTGCTGCCCTGCTGGCCGCCTGCAGCCTTGCGCGCTGCCTGCTATAGCCGCGGCCGCCCGCTACGCCCAGCGCGCCGCCCGCCCTGCTGCCCCGCCGGCCGCCTGCTGCCTCGCGCGCCGCCTGCCCGCGCTGCCCTGCACTCTGCCCGCCCTGCCAGCGCTCTAGCCACTGCTACGCTGCTGCAGCTGCTAGCGCCGCACTGCCCCGCCGCGCCCGAGCCACGCTGCACCGCCCGAGCCGCGCTGCACTGCCCGAGCCACGCCGCCCTGCTGACCCTCACTGCGCTGCCTAGTTGCCTGGCAGACCGGTTTCTACTGCTGCACTGCTGCTTCTACTGCTACTACTGCTGCTACTGATGCTTACCTGCAATCGCTCTGCCCTGCCAGTCCCGAGCCAGCAGCTATGGTCACCCTTCGCGTTCTGTCGTTCGATACTGAGGGCCGCCCGATTCAGTTTGAGACCTGGCTCGATGACCTGCAACTGTTCCTAATGAGCGATGGCAAGGATAATGTCTCTCTCTCTTTGACCACACGTCTGGTGCCTCAATCGCTCTCGCTGCCACAGCTGAGCTTAGTGCTTGTTCCCAGTGGCAGACTCGTGACGCTGCAGCTCGCCTAGCCATTCGCAACCACCTGTCGTTAGCCAAACTCACGCATTTTGGCGAGCACAAAACCGCTAAGGCCCTGTACGACGCTGTAGTTACTCAATACTCCTCCCCTGCCACTGCTGCACTTAGCCTCCTCATGCTGCCCTACCTGTTTCCAGAGTTGTCCACCTTTGCCACAGTTGCCGATCTTATCACGCACCTTCGCACTAGTGACACTCGCCTTGGCGTCGCCCTCCCCAAAGAGTTCTTAGCTAAGAACCCGCCTCCGATATACTCGACCCTCCACTTTATAGTGACCCGTCTCCCTGACACTCTTCATTCGGTCAGGGACCACTTTCTCGCTTGCTCTCCCACCGATCTCACTGGCGACCTCCTAGAGGAACAGCTTCTAGCCGCTGAGACTAGCATAGTCGCTCTAGGTGCTGCTCGTGGCGCTCCTTGCACCCCCATCGTTGAGGGATGCTCTCCCTCTCCCCTCGCCTCCTCCTACACTACTGCCGCTGCAGTTGACTTCCTTGGTGCTGAGTTTGTTGCTGCTGCTTCTGCTCCTAGTGGGAGGCACCGCAACAGCAAGGGCAAGGGAGCCAGAGTAGCGGAGGTGGCACCAGGGGGGGTGGTGGTGGAGGAGGTGGAGGTGGAGGAGGAGGAGGTGGCGGAGGGAGTGGTGGCGGGAGTGCTGGCGGGAGTGGTGGCGTCGGTGGCGGCGGTGGGAGTGGCGGTGGAGGCGGTGGCGGCGGAGGGGGTGGCGGCGGCAGTGGCGGCGGTGGTGGCGGTCGGGGTGGCGGTGGCGGCGGCGGTGGCGATCGGGGCGGAGGCACTAGCGCTAGCCAGAGACAGCAGCAGCAGCAGCGTCCCCGTGAGGCTCTTACGCTTCAGCAGCTTCGTGAGTGGCTTGCTCAGCGTGGGACGTCTAGGGGTAGTGGTCGCTGCCCGTATGTCATTCGCACAGGTGACTGCGCTGGCCAAACATGTGGGAAGTTCCACTCTAAGCACCGCTGCTTCTCCCGCCTTGACGACACCTGGCGTGAGGAGATGGGCGAGGAGGTCGAGCGCCCTCGCTGGCATGAGCTGCTTAGGGCTGGTGTAGACATCTTTGCTCTTAACTATGATGCTATCCTTGCTGCCATGTATGCATTGACTGTTAGTGCTGAGGGAGACTGCTATTTGTGTGTGCCGCCTGACCCAGGTGTAGAGGCTTCTGCCTTAGGTGCGAGCTAGTCTGCTCTCTTAGGTACTATGCCTGCTGAGGCCTTGCACACCTTCACGCTTGACTCAGGTGCTTACCGCTGTTTCTTTTGTGACAGTACTGCACTCACACCACTCACTGCACTTGTTGCAGTCTCTCCGGCTGACCCCTCAGGGGGCCCAGCTCTTACACGGTCGCTCCCGTGCCCGGCGGTTCCGTCTGGCTCACTGACAGGCCTCCACCTCCCCTTGTTCTCTACGAACTTGGTGAGCAACGCAGTTCTCCAGGACTAGTGGGTTTAAATCTTTACCCCTGGAGGACAGCGTGTGGCGATCTGTACGTGCTCCCGGACTGGCCGCCACCTGACCACGTTTACCCGTCGGCCAGGGTCGAGTCTTTAAACACTGACGACTACGCATCCTTAGGTAGCTGCTTCTGGTCCGGTGTCTGCGTCAGGTCAGGTAGCCTCCCCTTGTTCGTGTTTCTCCCTGTCGTACCAGACTTTTCTCTGGCACCATCGTCTGGGTCACCCCTCCTTGCCACGTCTATGTGACATGCACCGTTGCCTCCTTGTGTCTGGTCTTCCCAGGTCTCTCCCTCCCCTCCCTGCCTCGCCTGCGCAGCCCTTCATTCCTTGCGTCGAGGGGCGGCAGCTGTGAGGATCTGGGATCGAGCTCAGAAAAGATGATTCAAATTGAATTGAATGATCACCTGGGTACAACACGAGGCTATATATAGGCTCGACACAAGGCCCCGTAACCAGGTGTTACGCGAAGGTTCCGCGGGTCGCGAAGCGTCCCGAACAGATCCTTACCGAATTTGGTAGAAGGCAATTCGGTGGCAACGGAAAAGCCAGAATTCGGTGCACGCAACCTAGCTCGGTGCTATAACTATAATAAAATATAGGAAAGCACCTAGCCTAGGAAATCAAGCAATTCATGCATGCATATGATTATCCTATGCTAGAAATAGCATGATAAAGTAGAGGCAAGCAAGCATAGCTGGCATAAGCCGTCGTACTCTCACACGTCCCCCCCTCAAAGCAAGGTGGCGTGAGATACACCCTGCTTGACAAGATAGTCCTTGAGAGCACGGCGTGCGTTGCCCATATCAGCTTCTGCAACCAAACTGTCCTCAGTGGGGTCGTATCCCTTCCAGCGTATCAGGAACTCGAGGGTCTTGCCACCGCAGCGCCGATGGGTGAGAACGCGCTCGATCTCGTACTCGGGTTCATCCTGTATGAGAACAGGTGGTGGTGGCGGTAGTTGCCGTCCCTGGAACTGTTGGTTGGGGTCCTTGTAGGGCTTCAGTAGCTGGACATGGAAAGCGTTGTGAAGCTTCCATGTATCTGGTAAGCGCAAGCGGAATGTAACTGGTGTCACCTGTGCCTCAACGAGAAAAGGACCACAGAAGCGAGGCCGGAGTTTGGATGGGAGGTGAGACAGGTTCAAGTTGCGCGTGTCAAGAAGCACCTGATCTCCGACTGCTACTGAGTGATCACGTCGCTGACGATCGGCATACTGCTTCTGGGAGGTCTGCATCGTGGTGAGTCGTCGCTGAGTCTTCTCCCATAGCTGCTGCATGGTGGTGACGAAGTCATGTGCGGCTTGGACGTGTGCCGGTGTAGTTGGTTGCTGTGGTGTGAGTGGTTCCCGTCCCTAACACAGGAAGAAAGGAGTTTTCCCTGTGGCCGCATGTGATGCGTTGTTGTAAGCGAACTCTAGGGTCGGTAACTGTGTGTCCCAGTGGCTGACGTCGTCCTTGCAAGCTGTGCGCGGTAACTGTTCAACCACTTGATTGAGTCGCTCTGTCTGTCCGTCAGTCTGGGGGTGGTATGCTGAAGACATTGCAAGCTTTGTCCCCAACAGTCCCATGAGCTCCTTCCAGAACTTACTGGTGAATTTTGGGTCTCTGTCTAAGATGAGTGTAGCGGGGATGCCGTGGATGGTGATGATGCGGTCGAAGAAGAGGCGAGCAGTTGCTTCAGCTGTAGCTGTGGCGTTGGTCGGTATGAAGTGACCCATTTTGGAGAACTTATCGATGACTACGAGGATGGAATCGTGCCCCTGTGAGGTCGAAGGAAGTCCGGTGATGAAGTCGAGGCTAACGACCTGCCATGGCTGCTCCGGTACGGGTAGAGGCTGAAGTAACCTTGCTTTTTTCTGCTTGCTGCTCTTCATCCGCTGGCACGTGTCGCAAGAGGTGACGAACTGCTGCACGTCTGCTGCCATCCCGGGCCAGTAGTAATACTTCGCTATCCCTGCTAACGTCTTGTTGCTCCCGAAATGTCCCGCGTAAGGTACGTCGTGAAACTCCTCCAATAGGATCTGCCGTAGCGGGGCGTAATTCGGTACCCAACTCTTTCCTGAACCCTTCCTTACAGCTAAGTCTTTCTCCCACTGTAATAGCTTCTTGGTCTGTGCTGTAGCAATCTCTGCGTCCACGGAGTACCCATGTTGGAATAGACCCTTGAGCAGAGGGTTCATCCCGTCGAGCTGGATGCCTGCGACATGTCCGGGGCGGCTCAACGCGTCTGCCTTGTTGTGTAGCCCGGGCTTGTAGACGATGTCGTAGTGGAAGTGAGTTTCCAGGAAGTCCACCCACCGCACCTGTCGTCGTGAGAGTGTCGGCTGTGACTTCAGGTATTTGAGACTGCAGTGGTCAGTATAGACTGTAGTCTTGGCTCCCTCTAGGTAACACCTCCACGCCTTGAAGGCTATGACTATCGCTAAGGCTTCCTTGTCGTGAATGGGGTAGTTTAGTTCTGCTTCGTGTAGCTTCTTACTGAGGTAGGCGATGGGCTGCAAACCGCGTCCGTGATCCTGCATCAGTACTGCTCCGACCGCTTGGTCACTAGCGTCTGCTTCCACCACGTAGTCCTTGTCTGGATCCGGCAAGATGAGTACTGGCGCTGTAGTGAGTGCTGTCTGTAGCTGCTCCATGGCTTGCTGATGAAGGGTATCCCATTTGTAGGGCGTATCCTTTTTCAGTAGGTCGGTCAGTGGCGCTGCTATCTTAGCGTATTGCGGCACGAACCTGTTGTAGTAGTTGGCGAAGCCTAGGAACTGCTGTAACTCCTTCACGTTCTCTGGTACTTTCCACTTCTTGACGGCTTCGATCTTCCGTGGGTCCACGTGTACGCCCTCGGCACTCACCATGTGCCCGAGAAAGTGCACCTTCTTCAGGGCGAAGTCGCTCTTTGACAGCTTCACGTAAAACTTGTTGTTTCGCAGGATCTCGAACACCTTCCGCAGGATCTCGAACACCTTCCGCAGATGCTCCACGTGCTCCTTCATGTTCTTGGAGTAGATGAGAATGTCGTCCAGGTACACCACCACGCACTCGTCCAGCAGGGGTCGTAAGATGTGATTCATCTCCGCCTGAAACGTTGCTGGTGCGTTGCAGAGTCCGAACGGCATCACCAAGTAATCGTAGGAGTCGTATCTGGTACGAAACGCTATCTTGTGGACGGAGTTGTCTGCCATCTTGATCTGCCAGTAGCCCGATCGTAGGTCCAGCTTCGAAAATACTGTTGCTCCACGCAGCTGATCGAGTAGGTCGTCTATGCGCGGTATGGGATATTTGTTTTTGACTGTCTATTTGTTCAGTGCGCGGTAGTCGATGCACATCCGTAAACTACCGTCTGGCTTTGGAGTGAAGAGAACTGGTGCACCGTAGGGAGAGGTGGATGGGCGGATCAGTTGTCTGTCTAGTAGATACTCTATCTGTTTTTCATGTCTGTCAGTTCAGTTGGACTCAGTCGGTATGGTGCACGTGAGACGGGTTTCGCACCTGGTTCCTCCACGATCTCGTGCTCGTGGGTGCGTGCTGGAGATACGCCTGTGGGTAGGTCGTCGGGCATTATATCCTTGTACTGCTCCAAGACCTCCTCCTCTGCTGCTGCTATAACCAGTGCTAAGTAACCCGTGTTACTCTCGTTCACTGTCCGTTCGAACCGTGCCAGTGTCGTTTCAGGAACGCTCCCTGTATCCGTCAAGCTTCGCAGCTCCACTCGTTTCCCGTTGTTGTAGATGCACGTTTTCCGGTTGACCCAGTCGATCTTGGGGTTGAACCGCTTCAGAAAATCTTGCCCCAAGATGAAATCTAATCCCTTGATGTTCGTGATCGGCAACGTCGGCTTCCACCTCAACGCCCCTATCTGCAGCTGCAGTGTTGACTTTCCGTGGATGGGAAGCTTCGTACCGTCCACCATCGTTGCTGTAAACTGGGTTTCTTCTTAGGATTCTCCAATTTTCTCCAACGTCCCGCGGTCGCACACCGAGTGGGACGCACCACTATCCACCAGGGCCTGGAGGCGACGCCCGTTGCAGATCACCTCGAGTACTAGTGGTTGCGTAAATCTCCCTTAGGCGAAATTCGCGTCCGATCTTGGCCGTTGAGGAGAAATTCGAACCGACGCTCCAAATTCCAACTTTTTTGGGCGAAATTCTCTGGGCCGTTGAGATGAAACTCGATCGAACGGTCGAAACTCCAACCTTTCCACAAGTAAATCTGAGGGGTGTTCGAAAACCGAATCGAGGGGGACTTAGAAAAATTGCGCGGAACTGGTTTTACATACCCGTATCGGCGCTTTCGTCGTCGCCCCCGCGGTTTTTAAAGGCCGGAACTAAGCGGTTGAAGACCTCGTGTGTAAGCCCGCTCTGATACCAAGTGTGAGGATCTGGGATCGAGCTCAGAAAAGATGATTCAAATTGAATTGAATGATCACCTGGGTACAACACGAGGCTATATATAGGCTCGACACAAGGCCCCGTAACCAGGTGTTACGCGAAGGTTCCGCGGGTCGCGAAGCGTCCCGAACAGATCCTTACCGAATTCGGTAGAAGGCAATTCGGTGGCAACCGAAAAGCCAGAATTCGGTGCACGCAACCTAGCTCGGTGCTATAACTATAATAAAATATAGGAAAGCACATAGCCTAGGAAATCAAGCAATTCATGCATGCATATGATTATCCTATGCTAGAAATAGCATGATAAAGTAGAGGCAAGCAAGCATAGCTGGCATAAGCCGTCGTACTCTCACAGCAGCGCGCCGCTCCTCACTCCTCCTCGTTTCCCCCGACAGAGGCTCCCCTGCATACCCTCCACATGGACGTGTGGGGCCCAGCCCGAGTTCGTGGACAAGGCGGCGCGCGGTACTTTCTGCTGGTTGTCGACGACTACTCGCGTTACACCACGGTCTTCCCCTTTCGCACCAAGGGTGAGGTCCCTGATGTCCTGATCCATTGGATCCGAGCAGTTTGTCTCCAGCTCCGCGAGCGCTTCCGCCAGG